GATAAGGAGAGCACCTAGAGTGCACGAGAAGAGTATCGAGTAAATCGCTTAGAGTTCGCTGGGTGATTGTGGGCGAGTAAAGAAGTAAGCTACTTCGGATGCTAACTAAATTGTACAATGCATAAACTCGGGGAAAATAAATGCAAGACCTCTAAACGGCAGTCAAACCCCTCACGTTTTTCGCAATAACGAAACGTATTTCATGAGAATCAGTCTACTTCTGGTGCTGAATCCTTTATTCAGCAGGACAGGCATTAGTTATAAAACCACACATTAACTTACGGTGAATCGCGCAATTTGTTCACCATACTTTTGCTCCTCTCCTGCTGCAACGCCACGATAATACTCTGCGTAGGCCTCCATAAGGCCGGCCTTGAAGGAGACAGTGGAAGCCCATTCCTGACAAGAAAGAAAGCCTTGGATTCAGGTTGCTGGCAGCAAGTACAACAAGCAGGGTACATCCTGGGGTTAAACTAAGAACTAAGGAGAGTACGGGAGGGGGTATCGAACAGGCAGAAGACAGGGAAATACAAATTTAAAACTTAAAAGCGTATGCAAAAATCCTAAACAGGTCTGGACGACTTGGCAGGTAAGCCATAGGATAGTGACACAGGGGTCCAGCGGGATTTAAACGTACCCTGGGCATGTAAGGCTTTATAGACGATAGGGAGACAGTCTTCAGAGCATCATTGTAGAACGAAGCTGCCTGATTGGCGAGCTTGGCCACAACGCCGGCCTTCATTGCATCTAAGGTGAGTTGGGACAAACATGGACATGAATATAATAGCTAAACAGTGAGAAAAAATAAACAGCGCTCGAAGGGTAATTTTTTCCTAAGAAGGGTCTGAGGAGATATGTCATGCTAGACCAGAAAATTAACAGAACATAAAATTGCGGGGGGAATATACTACTTTTAAAAATATTAACTAAATTTACTAGTTTTTTTGTTTTCATTTTGTGAATTGTAGTCTCTCTTGACATGAGCTACACATTCGTGCTTCATCTACAAAAAGTTAACTTTGAGATGATTCTTACATGCTTCAGAGGTGACAACCATAGAGTACGCAGTTATCAAAATTTTGCAGATACCATGGGTCAAAAATGACGAATTGTGAACCTGCAACTGTGGCAGAATAGAACACTCGTGTCTAAGCCCTTAGCATTGGAAGTGTGATGCGTCAATTAAAAAACTAGCTTTTCTTCTTAAAAAAGCATTCATTTTGTCTCAAAATAACCGATTTGAATGGTGCTCCGACAGAAAACGTCCCCTTAGCGGCGCATGCAGGATCTATTCGCATATGAGGACGATTAGTTGGCCTATGAAAATGTGCCAAGCACACAGGTTAGTATGACAAAAATTCAAATGTAATAAAAGAGGTCCCTTCCACTTTGGAGAACATTTTACTCCCGTGACTTTTGAAGATAGCTTTAAGGAATTTTTCTTGTGCCACTCTTTTAACACATCAGCGACAGTCATTTCGAAATCAGCCAACTTATTGCTGACATACTGAATCTAGACAATGTGGAACGTTTCGGGCGCAGGAAGCGCCCCTTATTTCCGTCTCTTCGAATGAATTCAATAACAAAGGATTATGAAAGGCTGTTTCTGTGCCGCTAAAAATGTTCTTCAACAAATAAAAATACTTTATAGTTGCGAAAGAGTAAATATAGTTTTAATGTCCAACGTTACTGGATTAACCAAGAATATCAACGACAGGGTATATCTCGAAAACCACATAGACCAGCATAGCTTACATTCCCCAGACGTCAATAAAAACACAACAATTAAATGTATGCAAATACAGTACAGCAAATGATCTACTTAAATTCAAGTGGGTCACAAAAGGTCAATGAGATTTCCAAATAGAGCAGTAATTGTTCCTAAACTTTCAGACTGCTCCGCAAACGTCTACTTATACATGCCATATAACTTTCGATAGACTGATACCACCCTTCTGGGTTGCAATGCTAAACATACAATTCATTATTACGATGGGAACAGCTATGACTGTCTAAAGAACGTTGTTTGTGACAGGCGACCTTGCACAGATTGGAATAAAACCAAACGACCGTCGGATGAGAGTGCGTTCTAAGAGGGCAACCCAGCGGTCATTATTCTTCCTGTAGGTGACCACACAACTGATATAACCTTACTTGGTCTCAGGGGGTGTCCAGGTGATCAGTACCGGCCAAAGCTGCTATGTGAGTCAGATCCCGCATTCCGGACGCGCAGGCGTGCCCAAGAGAGTAGCGTTTGAACCTGAGTGTCTACAGGGTATTTTATGGCCAAACTAACCGCATTGATATATTATGTAAGTGCGCTAGTGAGCAAGGAGCAGACAGCTAACTAGATAAAGTTTAATGTATTTTCTTAAACAAGTCATGTGTCGTGTATTTTTTTATTCGTTATAAAAGCCCGAGCAGTCAGAAGTTTGTTGGGACAAACGTACCCGTTGT